ACCTGATGCATGTGAGGGTAAGGGAAGGAAGTCTCTTTGGCACGTATGAGTAGCTGTCACGAATCGAAGTTTCAAAAGCCAAAAGAGAGATTTTCCGACAAGAAAAAAGTTGGTTGAGACACGGGATGATAGGGCGGGCGGCCGACTTTCGGTACTTTCTGCCAACTCGATTTCAATACTAAGTAAGCTCCTCATCGCATAAGTAAGAAAGTTCAGCTACAGAGGGTAAAGAGAGGGGCGGACGAGAGTTCTAATAATTCTCTTCCTTCCATACAGGTCTGCGAGCGTCCCATCTTTTTCTTACTTGAATGAAGAAAGACAGAACCTCTCTTTTCGGCCACAGCCAGCAGTTCGCTTTCCACTTCCGAATACCAAAGAGCGATTGAGAGAAGAGCAGTACGTAGGACTTAAAAAGAGGGTTCCTTCCTCTCTTCACTCTCCGAATTTCGATCCTCACCTTTCTGGTGCCAAAGGCCTACCCTTCCACTTTACAGGAAATTATAAAGGAAGAAGTCGAAAAGGAAAAGAAAGTCACCTTTCCTGCCAACCTCCTGGCTTTATTCTTATACTGATCGAGCTGCACTATTTTCTATTCTAATAGATTCCACTTCGCTTGCTTGCACGACTTCCTCTTTGCTTAAAAAAAAGGGGGCAAGTCAAGTAAGTAAGCAGTGATCTGAACCAAAGCACAAGCTTTGAAATAGAAAGAAAGATAGAAGGAAAGCAAGAAAGAACTATCTGACTTCGCTATCTTTCTATGAGCTCCTAGGAAAGAGATCCTACTCCCAAAGAAAGGAAGCTTAAGAATAGTCATTAAGAGAGGTGACGGTGACCCTCTTTTGCTTTTTCAAGCTATGAATGTAGAGATCAGGTTGAAGAGTGAAAGGGACGAAGTGGTATGAAGTTGCTTGAACCTAGCGCTCGGGAGGTTGTGCTCGACCGAAAGGGTAAGGGCAAGAATACTTGGATGGACGTAGTTCAGGATCGATGTAATTGAGACAACTAAGTAGAGGATGGGAAGATGTGAGACCGGCCAAAGGTGGTTCTATATAGCTCTTACGCTTTTACAACTCGTACTATTTTATTATAAACTTTGTGAAATCGTTCTTTACTCGCTACAAGTATTTCGCTCTAGCTCTCTAGTTCTCTTAGCTATCGTTACATTTTTTGACTCGTGGAAAGTGGAAAGGCAGAAGCGTCGGCTAGTCAGTCACGGACTACTTGACTTCCTTATGATGATTCAATGTTAATGACCTCATTCAATCTTTTTTTTGAGCCTTCGCTATCGTGGGCTAGATGGATAGCTAGTAGTTATGAGCAGCAGTCCCCTGACTATAGATAGGAAAAGATGTAGAGGTGCGTGCCACACTCACGAGGGACTGAGAAGTTGACGAAGTAGCGAGTTAAATGAGAGGCTAGAGTCAAAGGCGAGCCAATGAGCTTCTCAGTTAATGAAGAGCTTCCCTTGATGTGAGCAGAACTATCTATTTGAATTATTAAGAAAGCGGCCCTCCATTCCTGCTTTGAGGAGTAGATTGAAGGGCTTATCGCTTCTCCTACTGCTGCTCCCGGCCCCGTCCCGCAGCCGACCGATCTGCTGCCTTAACTTTAGAAAGATCGTTTTTGTTCAACATTTTTTTTTTTTTTCTAGAAGTAGGGAAAGTAAGAGAAGAGTGAATGAAGACCCCCACGGAGCGGTAAGGAGATCGATGAGTTTTTAATCTTCCTCTTTATGTATGAAATTACAGACATATAGTGAATGGACGAGCCCCTTCAACTTCGAAGCAGCTTCCTTTGTACTTCCCTTCGTAGGGGAGGTAGGAAAAAGAAAGAGATTAGATAACTATAGAGCAGATTCAGATCCAACCAGCAAGGCATACGGTCTTGGACACTTAACCAAGCTCTTGATGAGCGGTATCCACCTTCACCTTATTCTGCTCTCCTTAGCCTCCGGCTTGGGCGTGGTGAAGCAAGGGGTCAGTGAGATCGACCCCGATCAGTGCAGTTAGATAGTTAGAGTTAGTAGTTTCTTCAACAATTCTAAAAAGAGGAGTTGCTCTTAGAGTTAGGGAGCGAGTGGAATAAACGAGTTCAATACGCTGGATAAGAAGCGTAGTATACGAAGCGATCACTAGAGCGAAGGAGTGTAATAGGCAGAAAGGACTACTAGAGCTATATACTTTGAGAACGAGTGGAATACCTGAAACAAGAGAGGGTAGGTAGAGCACTTTCGCCTTTTAAGCTTTGCTTTCTCGATCCACTACTATCTTACTAAAAAAAAAAAAGAACTTCTGAGTTAAGAGAAAGAAAATAGACACACCCTTACACAGCCTTAATTAATAATAATATAGAGGGCCTTCTTCTTTTTCTTTATTTTATTTATTTTATCATATTTTGCCTTCTATATCTTATATAGACTTTTAGCGTATAATAATTACCAATACGAGGACTATCGACTTCGCTTTCAACTTATAATAGAAGGGTCTCCTCTTCCTTCATTTCGTAAGCTTGCTAGCTTACCGGCTGAACCATCATCATCTGCTTGCTTGGTCACTTTCGTGATAAGGCGCTTAAAAGGATTCTGGATTCTATATATTTTGGGAACTAAAAGAGTGGCTGGTTGAAGGGAAGCCAGAAAATCCAGGGAATCGACGTCCCCCAAACCATTAGACTTCCAGAGAAGAGGAGTCCGGTCGCCATTAAAACCCTTCTCGGAAACCGAGGAAATATCCTACCCAATCCCGATACTGGGTAGGATTCACCAGCCGCTAGACATAGCACATAAGCCAACAGTAGTATGAATGGGACAGGAACTATTCGACCTCTTTCAGGAAAGGGCCTTACACACGGGGACACTGGCTGATCCCGCCGACAGGAGCAAAGGAAGGTCTCTTTCGCCTACGAGCATTTGTACGAAGAAAGGAGTCTCGTACAAAGGGTTGGAAAGAAGGCTTTTACCTTATTTCAGGTGGGTTAGTGCGTATCTGTTCGGGCGGAGGCGGACAATGAAAAGACAGAAAGGAACGAATGATGCCAACCAACTCGACAAAGACATTCAGATATGAAAAAGATAAAGAAAGACGTGTTAAGCTTGTGTTTTCCCAGCCGACTCGCACACGACCTTCTTTTTTTCTATTGAAGAGTCGGACTCCCTGACATTGCCTTTGCATCGCAAGGAGGAAGAAGGGTCTATGCCGAAAGATAAAAGGGTGCTGCATGTATAAGTCCAAAAGAGCTATGATGACTCTCGAAATGGAATTGGAAGAGCAAGACGGGCTAGGGCTGGCACATTAACAGGATATTCAATTTGTGATAACGATGGCGGATAAACCAGATAATAATCTTACTTGTCCCCAACGCTAAAGTACCGGGCATTTTCGGGGACTAGCCCGCTTCCACTCTTTTATTTTTTTTTTCGAAAAGACAAGGAGGATTAAGAAGGCCATCATTAAGGAAAACAAGGCAATAGCTTCGGTTAAAGCAAATCCCAAAATAGCATAACCAAATAATTGTTTTGCCAATGAATGATTTCTCGCAACAGAATTAAGGAACTGAAAACATTTCCAATACCGGCAGCAGCTCCCGCTGAAGCAATTGTAGCAGCTCCTGCGCCGATTAATTTTTAACCTTAGAATCTTACATAATAATAAAGAAAGTTAGCTCTTTATTTGTTTATCTCGCCCTTCTTTCTTTTCTTCGATTTTAGATGGTAAAAAAGAGAATGGAATTTCCGATCTTGTACCCAAAGTGCGGTACACTTCACACCAACCCAAACTCCCTACCCTCATAAAAAAAAGTTACCCCCTTTGTTTGATTAGTCAGTTTTCAAGAGGGGGAAGTTCTTCTGGCAATCTCAGGCATACTAAAAATCGATTATTTGGCCTGATCGAAACAACCTAGGAAAGGTTGTCAGCCTACATAACCAACTTCTCATACCAAGGGAAGAAGGCATCAGATCCCTGTAGTTCGAGCCCTTTTTTTTTTCCCAGTTCCTGTACGTGGAATGATTTCCAGTGAGTAAAGTAGTCTGGGGGAAAGATAAGCCCTACCCACTATCCTTTCCCCAAAAAAAGGGGTCCAGAAAAGTGTGGCTGATTTGTTCTTTTACCATGTCAGCCACACTCTCATTTAGTCGATCTTGATAGTCCGAATACGAGAAGTGTCTTAATCTAGACACTCTCCAAGTTGATAGGATCCAAATGAAAAAAGGAAATACAATGGTAGGATTTGCCATCTTTCTTATTAAATAATTAAAAACCAATTGATCGGGAAAGGTGTTGTTCATGGTGGTAAGCGAGGGGGGATTGAGTAAAGGGGTAATGCCGCTTTTTACTAATATAGTCCCGAGTTGGTAATTAGAGTTAGAAGCTTCACAGCTTCCTCCACTCACCTCCACGGGCGAATATAGTCTACTAGACTCTTTCTTGGCTAGTCTAGTAGACTATATTCTAGGTCATTCGGAAGGGCTCCGTATAGTTTTTGGGTGTAACGTTGTGGTTGTTCCCTCTCCTTTCAGTCGAGTGACTTCGTACCTATCCTTACCGAGAAAAACGAGTTCCAGAGGCATCTTCCATTCATATCGATTTGGGTTTTTCCGCACCATATTTTGATCTGCCTCTTCTTCGATCCGGAATTCCCAGCAAATCCTTGACTCCTCGAATACAATGGAATTTCACACCTGGCGAATCTTTCACTCTACCTCCTCTTATTAAGACCATAGAATGTTCCTGCAAATTATGACCTTCGCCTGGAATGTGAGCAAATATATCATGTCGATTGCTCAACCGTACTTTGGCTATCTTACGTGGAGCTGAATTAGGTTTTTTCGGTGTTCTCGTTGAAACACGCGGGCATACTCCTTGCTTCTGGGGACATTGATCCAAAGCTCGAGTACGGTCCGTGCGCCGTTTTTCTTCTCTACCATGACGAATCAATTGATTTAATGTAGGCATCGCTCTTTCCTTTGTCCTTCCCCCCAATTTTTGCCCTCTCACTAGTGGTTACTCCCGATCCGAAGCACCCCTTTTCCATTCATAGAGAGATCCAATCGTCAAAATCAATAAAAAGGCCATCATGGACCAAGATCCAAACGGATCAATCTTGTTGGGAGGTACTGCCCAAGGAAAGGAAAAGGTTACTTCCGGATCAGGAATAATAAATAAAATGGAAACAAGATAAAATCTTATATCAAAACGACTTCTGGCATCACCGGAAGGATCGAAACCACATTCGTAGGCCGACAATTTTTCTGGATAGGTCGAACTATTGGAAGAAAATAGAAAAGGAAGACCGAGTGGGAGCAAAGAAACTAGCGGACTGATCACTAAATAGATACAAATAGGTGCAAATTCTGACATCACCACAGAAAACTTGGTTCTTTCGCTCCTTGCTGGCGGAGCGGCATACCGGAAGAAATTGGAAGATCGACGACGGAACGAAGAACGCAATTTTAGGATAGCAACACAACAAAGAAGAATTTCTATGGGGCTTCCCTGTCGAGAATTAAAAGTTTTTCTCTTAGAGAGGCGTTTTCCTGGCTTAGAAAAGCGTTCCTTCTCTCAAGAGATTTCCATACCTCTCCTAACTCTAGGCGATGTTGCATTTCCAATTTCGCTTGGTGCTTTAAGTTTATAAAGCCACGAAAATGATGCGCTTGAGCCATTTTTACATCTTGATAAAAAGGGGAATCATGCTTCTCGACACATAGACTTTCTAAGACCTGGCATAGAGCAGGGTGATTGAATTCTAAGGGTTCAAGGTGCACCCTCAGTATGGAATCCAGGTCTTGTGGATCAATGAAGAATTGTGGATCCTCCCGACCATAAAAAAGGAGTTGATAGAGGGAGGAAATCTGCTCTCGAGTTGCAAAACACAATTCGGTATTGAGGAAGTCCCGCACCATGATTTCGTACTCCCTGGGTGAGAGGCCCTGGGTTTGTAGGCGCTCTCGTACGAATTCCACCCATTCTGGATCCTTATCCGGTTGATTCAGATAGTGGGATAGTAGCTCCAGTTCAGATGGGAGAATACCAAATATGGAATGAAGTAAAACCGCATTAAACAAGTTTGCGTAGATCCTATATCCAAGAGTTAGCAAGCAATAAAGACATATGAAATATTTCAGAATAGAAAGAGCCCGCTGTAACTTGGGCTTTGTTATATAGTAACAAAAGAGTTTCACTTCTAAATCCAAAGGGAGATAGAACCTAATAAGAATGAGGAAAAGGCATGACCAGAAGAATTGTGTGAAATAAGTGAATTTATCCAGTTGAGGCATTCTTGATTGATTGAGACAAAACGATTCCCTCAATACAGCTTAACTCCGTCAAGCCTGTACGAGTAGTGAAGAAGTATAGAGCACTTTGGTTGGTTGTTGACCAACGGAAAGCATGGGAGAAAAAAAGAGAGAACTCTTTCTTTTTTATTATGATTGGGCCCTGCGGTGGTAGAACCTCGTGAACCAGGCGTACTACTGAACTTGCTTTTCTTCTCTTATGATATTTCGAGTGCTGCTTTCATTTCAGATACATTCAAATCCATTATTCTTTGTAGCCTGAAGAAGAAATATAGATTTTTAGTAGAGGAAGGACGTAGCTGGCACAATGAGGGAAATGAAGGCACTAGCAGATGCAGTTTTTGGAATAGATCGCTTAGCTCTACTTCTCAGTCAATCCCCTTTGTTCATGGCTTTGAATTTATTGTAATGCTTATATTTTATGTAAAGATCTCGATGACCGCTTAATTCATCTTTCCTTTCCCGCTCCTGAATGAGAAGTGGTCTTTTTTATTCCTGCGGTCTTGGCCTGAGAAAAGTGATCTCTGAAACTGAAATTCGACTGAAAAGTTACCAATAGAATAGGCTTTAGAGTAGCTCTTTCCAAATAGGTCGAGTAGCCATTTATAGAAATTGAATTAATTAAAAGGAGAAAAATTGTTGGGATTCACACGCACAGCCTTATCCTATGAGTCCGCCTATGCCACGCGCCTGCCTTTGAGAGCCTTTCCGCTGGTTCCCTTCGTCGGCGTCATTGAACCTCGTTAGCATTTCGAAAAGAATTGGAGGCTCAAAACGAATGGTCAAAGGAATTGATGATTCGTGTTTTGTCTCCGATCTTCGCCTAGTCTTAGAACCTGCACTGTAGAGAGGGGAACAAGCACCTCTTTCTGCCGCTCTCCTCCCAGATGTAGGTATTCCTGGAAGTGAGAACACTGCTGCCCAACTTATAACCCGGTCACTCCCCGTCTTCATCCTAGACGCCACTGGTACTATTCATCTATACTATATATGGATGACTCCTGCTTTCTCCCCAATGGAATGATCTGGACCCTTGCGAAAGGACCTCAAAATCCGACGACCTTGACTGAAAAGCTCCCAATTAGGTCAGTAGCTGGCCGAGTCGCTGATAGACCAAATAAGCACAGTAGCTGTTTAGAGCCGAAGGAGTGAAAGCCACTTGACTGTAAGGAGAGGAGCTCTATTTGGGATTCTATAGCCTACGCACTTGCCTTTAGGGGATCGAAGTTGGATGAATCTCCAGTGGTTCCTTCCATCGGCGTCATCGAACCACGTTAGCAATCCAGAATAACTGGAAGCTCGAAACGAGCGGTCAAAGGAATTGATCCGTTTAGTTCTGTTCTTCTCCTAGTTTTATAGCACACCCATGTTGAGGGATCTTTCCGACGCTAAGCGCGCTGCATCTCCTGTCCAACCAAGTGAAGAATATCTTGTCCAAGCTTGCATCCTTCTTCTGCCATTGGGAATGGAACATCTCTCCACTTGTAAGTGGTAGAAATTAAGGACTCTGTTGCAGGTTTTGGTTGATTAAAGAATCCTCTCAGAAGCCCATGTTTATTGTCAAAAACGAGACCTTTACGGGTCTGATTCTGATGGCTTGGCTCCTTGTACCGCCGTGCCCTCCAAATGCGTTATATTGGGCTTTTGACCTGATTTGTCAACAACGGGTCTTGGCGCCTTGGCTGCTGCTTAAACAGGACATCCTCTCAGAAGCCCGTGTATATTAGTCAAAGATGTGACTTTCACAGGTCCGATGGCTCTTTGACTGGTGTGCCTGAAAATGTGATTGATAAATGGGCTTTTGAAACTCGATTTGTCGCAACAATCTGTCTCCGCCTTTTCAAGTAGGGATCATCTCGGCAGTACAGGCAGTTATGATCCTACATTGCTGCTCGGTAGTGACCTAAGGTTCAATGATTTATCTTCTGCGCTAAGGCTAGCATCTCATCCCATCTTTCATCTTATTGCTTTGAGCTCTCTTCGGGAAAGTGTCAAAGTCTAACCTGCTGCTCCTTGATTTCACATAAAAAACGGAGTGCCTTCTGCTCCTTTTGCTCTTCTCTTTCTGTGTCTATTGATTTCCCGCCCACTCACACTTTCTTTATCGAATCTTTCTAGGCAGATAGGACAACTCCTGCTTGCTCTTGGCCTTGGCTGCTTAGAGACATTCCTTTAGTTCGTCTTAGAGAATGGAATTCCTAATTCCGTTTTCGTCTTTCTTATTGTAGGTTGGTCATCTGTTTCATTTTGAATTCCATCTCTTGCTTGCTTTCTGGTACCGGTTTCAGTTCCTTTGTTCAAATCAATATCTACTATGTCAGGCTTCCCTTCCCGGTTGTCCTGTTCAATCCGTTGTTCTTCTGTCTGAGGCAAAGGCGAATCCCTTTTACTGTATACGGTCGAGCTGGCTTGGCTGGTACATCAAGCATATCGGCATATTGCTTGTTCGGTGTGGTACACATATCTTTCAATGTAAATCAAGTAAGAGAATTCATTCCCACTGGCTGAGGAAAACGTGAAGAATTGCCATTTTATGAGCTTGTAAGGCCCGTTGCGTTGAAGTCCCCGAATAAAGAGGCTATACTAAGTCGGTGGGGCATTGGGCAGCCCCTATTGCCCAAGGGCAAGGCCACGCTAGGCCATTCTAGAACCTTCTATAGAATGCTAGCTTCTTGTAGCTTGTATGGCAGCCCCTTTGGCCGACCTAGGCAGCTTCCTAGGACTCTCTAGAGTCCTCTAAGATGCCACCACTCCTTTGTGCTTCCATGGAGCTTCCACCAACTCCTAGATCACTCCGGAACCTTCTAGAACCTTCCATAGCGCAAGATTGTGCTTCCATGGCCTGACGTGTTCTTGGCATTGTCTTGGCCACTCTTCCACATGCACCCTCGTGCTCCCACGATACTCCTAGGCCTTCCATCATGCCAAGATCCTTGTGAACATGTTCCATGCCCGCCCCCGCCGGCTATCTTTGATTGTCTTGGTCGGAAAATTGGGGTCTTTTGAGCGGGTTGTCTCCTCTCTGATGATCTTTTCTAAAAGAAGTAATGAAAGGGAAGCCCGGGGTCAAAGCGCGTTCGTTGTTGCCTGTATAGCTTTCTAGAGCAGAGATCTCCTCTCTCCTTCGGACCCTCTACCTCTACTTCCCTTCCGCTCATAAACAGCCTTCCAACGGGAAAGACTTCAACATAAAAGTAAATTTCCGTTCTTCCTGTTCCCGCGGCAGACGTATGCTCGGTTGAAGCTGGATTTAGAAAGGATCAGCAGCGGTGCATATATGATATTTTAAGGACAAGAAATATTGGACTAGACTATTCCTTATGTAGATGTAGTGGATAAGCTCTCCGTGTTGGGATAGGCGTTCGGATTTCCACAGCTATTCTAAGAGCGTGCTGAATCCAACCGTTGCACGTTCCCCCTTTGGCTAAACCACCACTTCAGGCTAACCCTTTTGCCTGGCTGGCACTTACTCAAGTTAGAGTTTTGCGCTCTCTCAAAACGCCTGCACGCCTGCGAGTGTTCTCCCCGGTCCTACAAATTGAGCTTCCGAAAGGGGTGCTTGCTGGAGCAGCTCAACGAGATGTGGGTTCAATTCTCGCTATGCCTCATCCTAGTAGGTGTCTGCGCCATTGGGCCAGCTAAACTTGCTCTGATCTAGTGTGCGTCCGCTCCTGTTCGGGCTCACTCAGCAGAAAGCTAACTCTCTTCTCCTGCTTTAGCTTGAGCCCACCCGGACAGACTCTGGCATGACACCCGTCACCATACATAGGTAATAGCATGTCCCAATGCTATCTTCCTCGAAGTTGCTGCTCAATATGATCTTGTTTTTGGGGGGAGGATCCACTAAATGGACCAACGGAGCACTGTCGGGTCGATAGCCCTTGATCCGAGATCTCTTTTTAACAAAAAAGAGTTGGATTTGCCAGCCTTAGCCGAAGAAGACTGTTCGTATAGTAGTAGGTTTGAGAACCGGTTCAAACCATCTCATAGGTCGTCCTCAGTACAAAAGGTCAATTCAATTGCTATACTAAGCTTTCTTTTACGCCCTGGAATGAAGCATTATTCAAAGACAGTAGGCAAGGGACTATAAGGAAGTGAAGTAGGGTCGGCAGATATAGGCTTCTCTTCTATTGAATAAGTGGACTCCCCCCTTTGACTTGAGCATTGAATTGACTCTTCTTCGATAGCTTTCAAGCGCTGAACCCGATCCAATTCGTTTCGTAGTCGTAGCTTATTGGCCTGAGATTCTCCATTGAGTGGTTCGTACTTACGACTTGGATTATCTGTTTCGTGGCTCACAAGAAATCGTTCTATCGAGAAATCATTAGAAAAGCTATTTTCTCTATTGGATTCTCAGTTAGCTGACTAGAAATCGAATTATCTCGCCGGTCGGATGAAACCACTTCTTCTTCTGTGCCCGTCTGATTCGGTGCTGTCTTCCCACTTCACTAAGAAAGAGTCTCGACCGACCCAGTATTGACTTATTATATACAAGTTTTGGCTTTCCCATGACCGCTAGACGGAAGTTTCCCGCCTTCCACAAAGATTCTATACCAGTAGAATACACAAGGATTCTCCACCCATTATTATCTCTATTATAGAGATGAGATGTCGAAAGATAGAGATAGAATCGAGACAGATCTTCTTTCTTCTATCTCTCTTGTGGCATTCATCATCTTGAGTGCACAATGTGTCTGTCTCTCATGCGAATGAGGAAAGCAAGATAACAGAGTAGCTTCCGCCCACAGAGTCCTCTCCCTTCACAAGGCTGGACTGATCCCCGGAGGTGAAGCCAACTTATTACTGATTGAGCATGATGACAGGCGGCAGTACTTTCTTCGCATCCTTCGTTTCAGGACAGGAACCATCAGGTTTTATTATTTCTAATATCTCTTATTCATATATTACTAAAGGCTCACAACTTCGTTCCCTTAGGCTCATTTGTTCCAAACCTTAACTACCGCAGCTGATTTAGACCACTCACGGGGAACAGCAGAACGAAGCCTTTTCGCTAGCTGCTAAAACAGGGGTCGAAGGGTATAACCGATAAGCAGGAGCGCCCTCATCGATCTGTCACCCTCGTTTACCTTTACTTTAGATAACCACTCGCAGTGAAAAACTGGCTATGATCCCACAGGAGAAGATGCTCCCGAAGACACACACATGGAAACCTCATCTAATCATCCCAGATCACAGAATAGAAGAGATCTGGGTAAGGATGATGAAAGCGGGCCCCTCTAATGCAAACCGCGCGGGACCGTCCGCTAGCTCACAAGATTCCACTACAGTGGATCGGCCGGCTCGTAGGCTCTATAGACTCACTCTCTTCACAACGAGAGGAGTTTACTACACGTATGGCCTCCTTTAGCCTTGTCTTAAACGTTGGCTCCGTGGCCCAAAGTGCTCGTCTTTTTTTTCTCCCTGGAACTTTTGATCCCTTCCGCTCCGTTCGTTCCGAGCTCGCGAGCGAAGTTTTGGCATGTCAAGTCTCTTTTCTTTCAACTCCGCTTGGTGATCGCTCATGGCTAATATAGGTAGGTCCAGAGCTAGCTAGTGTTCAGAAGTCACTTAAGAGATTGAATATGGGTCCTATTAGAATAGGCTGTAGCCGCAAAGAGATATAGATTCGCATTGCGGGAAGGGAACCATAGCAGCTGATAAAGGCTGCTGGTGGAGCCGGAGAAGAACCGGGCGAAGGGCTGGGGCCTTAACTAAGTACTAAGTACTAAAGCTGCTGGAGCGACTTCCTTCGATTGGACCTGCCAATCGAATGAATCGTAATCTCGCTACTTCCCCTTTCTGTCCTAAGCGGGGGAGAAGGATTAAAAACCTTGTGTGAAGGAATATCAAAGTCGTTGACCAAACATCCGGTTTAAGGACAAATGGACAGTGAATCAACAGAATCGAGTTGTTTGCAGGATAAGGATTCGGCAGTCGAGACATCTATATTTATTTCATTAAGAAAGAGAGGAAAGGATGCAAGCAAGGAAGCGCTAACCTATACCTATACGACTGCTATTCTTATTGATATTGATCAATGCGGGCTAAGGACGTTGATACCTGAGCCCTCTTCCAGTCTTGTTTTCATGCTCCCCAGTCGAGATGCCAAAGAAGAAGGAAGATTGACCACCGTCGATTCCGTCATGCTTTTCATACTGAGGTCGAGGTTGTAGGCCCCCTGTGTGTACACTTCTTCCACATGGGGAAGGAAAGGAGCCCCTTTGCTTGCTTTTTGGGACATGTAAGACAGCCTAGCAGATCCTTTTGAATGTCCATCAAAGGCGAGGTGGGAAATGCCCCGCACGAACTATCTGATCAAGTTTTCTTTTTCCTATCACAGGCAGCTGGCAAAGCCGTGTTTGATCGTCGCGTACATGCTCCGTTACAGCTTCGTTCATGCGCCAATCAATTGACAGTGAAGCAGAGAAGGAAGAGTTTTGATCACCGTGTGGGTAGTCTCTATTAGGGTTTCCGTTTCATGTGCACTAAAAAGGAAGGAAGACTGGTGCGACTATAGTAATGCCAAGCATACGAGCAAAGGACTCTACCTACCCCATACTGACGAATGAAAGAAGCTCATCGCGGATGATAGGACAAGCGATAGCGGTTCCATTCTTGCTCTTCCTATTCCATACCATAAACAGACACCTTTGATTCATCGACATTGGCGCTAGAGGCTCTACCCCCACCCACCAGCCCTTTATGGAGTTAGCGGACCAAGAGCAAAAATTCCCCGATATAATAAAGAAAGTAAGAAGGGTTCCAAACCATTGAAACAGAAAGCACTAAAGACTGTTACGACGTGGCAGAAATGATCACCGTCAAGCACAAGATTCAAAGCTGGAATCTTCCTACTCTTGTTAGTTGGGACAGAGCATCCTATCTTGTTGATTCTCCTTTCCCACCGCCTCGAGCTCTCGCTTTCAGGGTGGATACGCAAGAAATTCACTATGAAAATTGACATGACACAATCCCTGAAGAGTATGATGTGCCCGGCCTTGCTTCTCTTGATCCCCACCCACCTCCCGTAGAGGCGGGTCAATATCAATATCTATACCAGAGATTGCTTTTAGCTTTATCTTTTCAGAGACAGGAGAATTCCTTCTGTACTTACAAGAATGCTACTTAGGGAGAAGAATCTCTTGACTCAGGAGCACCTGAATCTATTCTTTCTGTGTCCCACATCCGCCTATGTTAAAGCACTCCGCCAGGTCCGTACTAGAAAAGACTCGGTCAAGGTCAAAAGCACCTGCGGGTGACTTTTTGTCTTACGACACGGCATGGTAATTGATCGAGTGCGCTTTCCTTTCTCCTACTCCCACTTCGGGAAGGGAAGTGCTAAAGGGCGGGCATGCTCGACTGAAAGGAGAGGAAAGCTTCTTCACTTTCGGCACGGGCGCGGACTCCGCGATCTCTGGGTCGCCGAGGTTCCTTTTCTTCCGCCTCTTAAGATCCGCTATCTCTATGATTTGATCCTTCGCGTATCGGCCCCATACTTCTTTGATCTCCCTTTCTCCTGACGTAAGAAAGTGACACAGGCTTGGCCAGCTTTTTTCAAACTTGACGGTCAAGTTCCCTGCTACTTCCGTAAATACGCCTTGGATGAGCCTAACAGCCGTGTACCTGGAAGCACTTTTGTTTTCAACCGCCAGATGGTAAAGGAAGGCGCCATCCCTCCTTTCTCTCGCAATCACAATAGCCGTACAGTCGAATAGTTGAGTTAGACGGGGGATAAGGGTCGAACTATCAAAGAGGTCCGCTACCAAAGAATTAGGAGTTATAACATTCATAAAAGAAAGAAAAAACCAATATAGGAACTTCAACTAAGAAAGAATAAGAATAAGAAGAATTGCTTAAGTAAGGTAGTCGCTTCTTTTTTTCGGTATACCGCTCTGCGAGCAGAGCGAATGAACATAAATCTTTCTGAATATCATGAATATCCTTCGCCCCTTATCTCCTCATCTTCCTATTTATAAGCCACAGCTTACTTCGACGTTTTCAATTTCCCATAGAATCTCCGGAGCTTTCCTAGCCACTATAGTTTTCTTTTTTTATCTTCTTTGTCTGAAAATTGGTTTGATTTGCTTCACCTATGAGAATTTCTACCAATTCTTCTTTTATTCATCAAAGCTCATCCTAATCTCCGTCGAGATTACTGCCTTAGCCCTGTCCTATCATCTGTATAATGGAGTTCGTCATTTATTGACGGATTTTTCGGGATTTTTCTTTCTTAGAATTGGAAGAAAAAGATTGAAATGACTATTCCAAATTTCACCTATACCTTTCTTTGAGATTTCAACAAAAAATTTATCTTTTCTTATAAAATGTTTATTATTCGTTGATAGATCTAAAGCTTATGCCGTAGAAGCTGACATCAGGCTATTGGCCTTTTATCTGCATCTTCCCTCGTAGAGTGGCGTCTTTTATAAGAAAAGACTTTCTCAGTGGAACTAAAAAAAAAAAAAGAGTTTGAGCTCTTTTTTTTGGTTGACCTTTAGCCACGCGCGGCGGCTATGCGCATGTGTCCCAAAGTGACGTATATTTTTTGGTAATGGGTATACTCGAGAGAAAAGGTTTGGAATTCGACCTCCCCTTATACGCTCTAAAAAGGGGTCATGGACTCCTTTTTAGTTTAGGATCCCCTTTCTACATTCAATTTTTTATTGAGCCTGGTGTGGAATCACCATCATTACACATTCATTCTTGGTCTGGCTGCTGGTCTAGCGAGCCTTCCTAGCCGCCTAGAGTGCAGCCTGCCTGCTGAAGACCGTAACGTAAGTAACTCAGTGCTCCATACGGGGGAAATGAAAGCAGAATTCGTTCGGATCCTCCCACATGTTCAATCTTTTTTTAGCGGTTTCCCCAGAGATCTTTATCATTAATGCAACCTTCATTTTGCTCATTCATGGAGTTGTATTTAGTACCTCTAAGAAATATGATTATCCACCGTTAGTCAGTAATGTGGGTTGGCTTGGATTACTTAGTGTTGCGCGCCTAGGAGGGCAGCGCGCTTTGGGATGCGGAGGAGCTATTATCGTCCAGCTCCCTAACCTAAAGCGGCACCGGGTTTGGACCGCAGGGAACCGTAGCATGGGGGGACGTCTAATCCTTTTGCCGCCGCAAGGCTGGCTAATCGTACGCAGCAGGCTCGAATACCCCTGGTTCTGGAAGGCACATGAGTCCGAACGCTATGTTGAATGTGCGACCGAGACTACACTACGTAGGTACCTGTGCAGGTGAGGCGTCGGTCGGTCCTAGAAACGGCGGCAGCGGCGCGAGGAGTTAACGACCGGACGTGCTGCAACCTAGGGATCACCAGGCAGCTCTTTCGCTCTATAGGGATCGGGGGGGCATAGCACAATTCTTCTTGGAGGAGGGTTGTTTGCCCGGGTGACTGATCCTGCCATAATGTACTTCTACCTATTATAGCACCGGCAACCGAAGTCGAGCATACATACGACGATCTTCATGCGTGAATAGCCGGGAGGAAAGAAAGGGCGGTAGATGATAATGAGAAAGGGCGCCGCGTCTGGACGGGCGGAATGGATGAGCGAAAGGTGTCATGCCATGGAGTGGGGAATAGCCCTCGTCTCATGTAAGACAACTAAATGCACCTCGAGGTGCTGCCGAGGAACTGAGGGACCTTCTCGAGCACAGGATAGGTAATTGAGAGATAGAGCTAGCCTATTCGTTATGGGAAATCAATGCTCCGGGCCAAATAGAGCTTACCTACGGCACCTGGCTTTCTCCGGCGAGCTTTCTATCGTAAAGCCAAAGACGCCCCAAGACAAGGTACAACTGTTGGGAAGGGGACATGATCAATAGAACCTGGCTGGATCCGGGCTGGGATAGTGCCGCCCATTCTTAACCAGTTCCGAAAGGGTTCGCTCATGCTGGAGGGAGCATCCCCACTTAGTGATCGGTCCGCTAGTTCACGCAAATCCGAAGAAGTTATCACGGACGAGCCACATGCAGGGAAACTTGCACGTGTGGTTCTGGCCGGGCTTTCCTGAGGTATCTAATAACCTTGCTTCTGCTCGCCGCTGGCGCACCTCTCCTAACTATTGCCCATTTATTCTGGAATAATCTTTTTAGGAGGGACAATTTTACATATTTCTGCCAAATCCTTCTATTATTAAGTACGGCTGGTACCATTTCGATGTGTTTCAATTCTTTCGAACAAGAGAGGTTTGATGCTTTTGAATCCATTGTATTAATTCCACTTCCTACTCGCGGTATGCTCTTTATGATCTCGGCTTATGATTCAATTGCCATGTATTTAGCTATTGAGCCTCAAAGTTTATGTTTTTATGTGATCGCAGTAATTAGTAGGGAACCCATGGATTTGACTCTGGGATTGGGGAATTCCGTGACACCCCTGCCGGAGCCCATAATTCCCGATCTGAATCTTCCCCCCGAGGAACCCCCAGAAGAACCATATCAACCATTAATTCCTGGGGGGGGAAGTCTCTCGGTGGAGGAACAAAGGGCGATAGACCGCTTTGTTCGCCAGCAAAACCGGCTGGTCCGGTGCGCGACACACATGTTGCGGTCACTGGACTACTCCCCACAACCGGAAGACGTCAAGAATGTCGTAGAGACATTCATCCTGGAGATTGACTCCTTCCACTATTCAGAAATTTATCTGGCACTAATTGATAGAGACTCCCCCCAGTTTCTACATTTTCTTGAACTCTGGGAGGAGCATCTCACAGTCACCGATTCCCTAGTGCAAAATATATTTCTGCTATAACTTCTTCTTTGATTACTTCATTCTTTCCATATCCCTCTCCTTTGTTCTCAGTTACTCATCAAATGGCACTCAGTTCATATCTTTAAGTTCGATCATTGACAAGGTTCAAAGAAAGGGAGGGGAAAAAAAGAAAGATCATCAGTTTCATCATGATCTATTCTCAATTTCTGCAGTATAGTTTAACCACCAAGTTCGGGATGGATTGGTGTGGGCCCCCTACGCCCGTCTACCTGAGACTGTCCCTTGGCCCGTAGGTCCTGGCACAAGGTTAGAATTCTAGCTCTTTCAGAGTGGTATCTCACTGATGGCTCGGCCCCCCCCGGAAGGAGGCCTTCTTCGCCCTCCACCTAAGCTGCGCAGGAAAAGCCCAAAGCCAATCCCAGGGAACAGTTAAGCTTCAATCGGTCTTTCTGTCCAGGTGGAGGTAGTCCGCATCTTCACAGACATGTCTACTTCACCGAGCCTCTCTCCGAGACAGTGCCCAGATCGTTACGCCTCTCGTGCTCAGGAAGGTCAGAACAGAAAATCCTTCAAGCCCCAAAGCAGATACGCTTTCAGTTACCTTTCCTTTCGCGGATTCGTCTTCCTTTACTGTAAAGTGAGGCACTTATTGACTCCTCGGACATTCACTATGTCAGTTGCTTCTGTCTTCTCCCTCACAGCGCATTCTATAAGAACTTCCTAATGCTAAGCCACACCTGAAGGAGGAGGATTTTGCTCATTTTCTTTTTAGGCCTTAGCACTAGACTATTATGACTATCTTATTATAAGACAGTCTGAGGGTCGGGTCAAGCCTGTCTGTTTACGAATCGGATGTGGGAATTTTACAAGTCCTATGGCAAGTTGAGAGGGAAGTAACAATAGCAAAAGGCATTCCTTTGAAAGCAATGCAGGGTTAGCCAGTTCAACCAAGCCAGCAGAAAAAGTAGACCTATATTCTCCCGCAGTCTTTCTTTCAGTTCCATTCCCCCACCTAACCTTAATGGGACAGGGATACTAGCAGGGAAGAGGGCGTTAAGTAATCGATATGAATCGCTTTACAAAGCTCTTTCTTTCCCTAAAAGGAGAAAAGAGTGGAGTAAGGGAAGCGAAAGACACTGTACCGACTGAAAGGTACATAGTTGCTTTACCGATAGCGAGAGGATTGAGAAAAGCTACAGCGCAGGAAGAGCATAGGGAGAGGATGAAGGCTTAGTTAGTGCTTGTGGAAAGGCTGAGGTACGATAGCGAGAGCAAGAAAACTCCTGCGCTTACGCTTGCTATTCCAAATTGGAATGGAGAATGACTTCGGGACAAAAATAAAAGAGAAAGAAAAAGCCTTCTTCTTCTCAATACCAATACCTAAAGCTCACTGAACTTGAGCTATCGTAATTCTGTTTTCGCAATCCCTCTCCCCTTTCCCTATCGGTGGAGCAACTGCGTACCTCTATAGAGCTTTCTAATGCGTTTTCTGGACATCATATGATCGTTCTTTCTTAAACGTAGTTTTATCCGTAACAAGATGCCTATTCTCTTTAGGGATAGGTAGCTTAGCATACCTGGCAAGATACTTTAGCCAAGGTATAGACCGGGAGTACTTACTCATAGGTTGCTTGACTTCGTGCCTATCACATCACAGCTTATCCCTTTAAAGGCGAAAGCCCGGCCTCCCCCTCCAGCATCTGCTCTCTAGTTAAGTAAGGTGAAAACATCGATTGAATTAGTAGAAAACTTCCTTAGTTAGAAGGTAAGATGATCCTAGAGGCAAAGCCTTGGATTCAATTCCAATTCTCCCCTCTGTAACTGCAGCTTCAGCAATTTTCTTAGTCAGGCCATTGACCCTCCAGGGGGATTAGGTAGTTACAAAAGAAAAGCCCTTCCTTAGAAGTATAAACCAAGGCATTCTATTTCTAATACTCAAATCGAAAGGCTAGTCTTCTTTTCTACATTCTACAGGCCCAGCTTCTTCTGAGAAGTTCGGCAGCAAGGAAGTCTATTCCCTTGGATTCTATTTGGATTCCTTACCACCGGGGATTCCCCTATCCTCACTGTAGGAACAGTAGGAACATACTGAGGCTAAAGTAGCCGCAGTCTTTGAGTAAGTTGCTATTGAGCTCAGCCCCTGGTAACATACTAAAGAATCATATCCTGAGGACTAAAGAAAAGCTGCCTTGGAATCGAATCTGAAACTTTGAAATAAAGGCCTGTGAGAATTTCTTCTTTTAGAAGCTAGGAGACCTTTAGTGTATTCTCTGCAAACCTCACCACTTCGTCAGCAGGTGATAACTGCCATCTTTTTAGGTTTTTAAACCATCAGGACAGAATGCTTTTAGCGGACAATATAACGCAATCTATCAATTGTTGAGCTAAACCAGCCTTTTACCCTAAAGAATAACTGGATTTAGGGATTTCTTGCTTTCCGGGGCATATCTGCCCTGATCTTTCCTATAGACTCAAGAGAAGCTGTAGGCCCTTACTGAGCTAATTCAGTAAGCTATTCAAGCTCCTAGACCTCCGTCTG